TAGTGTGACGATCAGGGAAGAATTTCTCCCCTTAAATCATACGCTCACTATATATACTTGCCACTACAAAGCTCGCTTGCTTCATCGCTGTTAGTCTCTAAAAACCTTATCCACTTTTGACTCAGTGCAGGCTCAATGCATGCAACGATGATTCAGGCTTACGGTTAATTATAGCTGATATTTTTTTTATAATTATTTTTATCTTCTCAAATGTTTTGTCTTGGTTTTGCGGTTAGTGGGCGGAAAAAGTTCTATATTTAATTATAAATAAATATAATACAACAAATATAAAAGAATAAAATCTACAGTTTGTTCTCCTTAATTGCCTCCTTCTAAATTGTGCGCTTAAGTGCTTGATGACTTTTCATTCTTAAGGATAAACTGGGTTTCTCAGCTAAGGTTTCTGTTACTCCCTGCAAGTCAAAGATCCGTTAAATCATACGTTTTTCTGTATATGTTAGTTTCTGTGCTAATTCTTTTAATGTATTAAACTTCCGAGTTCGCTACTTGTTGGGTGAGTATGTTATAAGAGTTATGTTCGACATCGTCCATTGTAAATAACAAAATGGTTAAATGGTTTCGACAAAAAGCTAAGATTCGAACACGATTATCAAGGTAAACCAAAATGATAGAATTTAGAACCGTTCCTTTATTAGATTCGTTTGACGTAGTTTGTGAGCCGTGAGGAGGATAGTCCTTGTTAACAATTACTAAAAAGTTTGCCAGTTTGCTACGTTTATGATGAAAAAGATCTGCAATTTTAATATTATTTGAAACGAATACGCTACGCATACCTGACAACAAAACAATATGCTATGAAGCACAAGTCAAGAGTCTAATAATGGAGTCATGAGTACTAAAGAAGCCATAATGAGATAATTTCCATGACAGATTTCTCAAACTTCTGTAAAGACTTTGCGTAGACACAGATATAATACATTTCAAACTAGAAAAAAATTGAATTTTATTTGTGGCTTAATCTTTGTTTTCTTAAAGCCTGTGTATCGTGTCGTTTTCGGCAAAACTGTCAACAGCTTAAGTGCCTTATAATTGATTACTTGCCAAACTTGTAGAAAATCGTGATTTGGTGCTAATTAACTTTCTCGACGCATTTTGTGTTAATCCGCTCAGTTTGCATATTTAGATTTGTCCAAATCGATAAGAAAATAATTTATTGACTACAAATTTATAGAGTCGGCTCACGCATGGTTTGACGCATCTTTGAAGCTGCTAATTTAAACGATGCTTTAACAATAATAATTAAAATTGTCACGATTTACTAAGAAGACTAAAAAAAAAAAGTTTGCAAACAAGTTGTAAAATAAACTCGCTAATTGCGTGTGCGTTTCCTTTAAATTTTGACTTTTCTTAAAAGGTTACATTCTTTTAAATTCATTGTCACCAAAGCTATACAAACCAATACTTGTTTCATATATTTACTAAATACTTTCTTACTTTCTTGTTGATAACAGGTTTCTTAGAAATTCTTCTGCACACAAGTCACAGATCTGCATGAAAAATGTTATTCAATTACATTAAGCCGATTACGCTGATCGTGTACTTTATTGTGTTTGCGAATTCTTGTTGTGTTGTTGTCGTGTTTGTCACAAACTGTCGTGTTTACG